ACAGTTTTTACCCGTTTATTCCCTAAAGGGGCCGAATTTTAAAAAAGTACGAGACATCTGTCCGCTTATAAAATCCCGTCTTAGAGGATCTATTTGGCGGGATGATCAGTCAGTGAATCAGTCAGTCTGTAACGCTAGAATTTTATATATATAGATCATATTTTTTGCTGCAAGTCGTATGTTAGCTATTTACGTCGTGAGTTAGCTATTTATACATTTCAGACAATTTAACGAATTTTGGCATCGATTTGTCAGAGCATATTTTATTTCTTTACAGCATATTTTTGCATTTTAGATCATATTTCAGCATATTTTACTCATAAACGCATATTTTTATTGCATATTTCGTTCTTTACACCTAATTTTTTCATATTTTTCAAAATAGATTAATTTTTTTGGGAAATTAAAAAATATTTTTTTTAATGTTTTTAAATTTGTTATTAAATTATTTTTTTTGGAAAAATAGTTTAAATAAAATGTTTTTAATTCCAGCAACCATAAATTTAATTAAATTCCTTCTGATTGATCAAATTTTGTTTGTCAAAATTTTTTGTCAGATTCACTTTGAAAAAGATGTGCTTTATTTCACAATTCAATAACATTTCTGTGTGTGTGTCTATATAAACCTTAAGCGCAAGCTACAGCTCGCAATTTTCAAATTAATTTGATGAAATTTGGCAAATACTTTTCGTTGTTGAAAATGGTTGATATTATTTCACCTAGCCGCCATACAACCGTACCCTCGAATAGGGCTCTCGAGCTCATTATTATGTTAAATGTTTTAGAATCTCTCTCTACAAAAATTGGCACAACTTAGTTTTGTATAAGTCTAAATATTACTCACTTATAAACTCTAGATCACGATAAAATTCTGCATAAATAAAATCCCTCTACTAATATTTATGATTGGCCCAATTTACCCTTGCCCCGTATAATAAATAAATATTTATTTTAGAAATTAAATTAGTGGAATGTAATGGAAAAGAATTAAGCTAATACACAGGCCGACAAAAGTTGAAAAAAGTCGAAACCCTGAAGGATTGAGCATCATTTAATCCGAATCCAATTTCTCCATCACATCAGGTTATCGTGTTCTTAAAAAAAGTGGGAAAGTTTGTCATAGAATAAAGGCGAAATGGAGCAAAATTTTTTGTGTAATTTTATGGCTGTTCGCATTAAAATATTTTAAGGATATACAAGTTTACGGCCTAAATACAGATTTCATAACCTCAAAAATAAATTCACATATACAGCAAAATTTTAAGCAATTTACATACATTCACTAATATTAATACATAATAATAACATATAACTAAAATAATGTTTTCAAATGCGGCGAAAAACATTTTTTGCAAAAATAAAAAAATTTTAATATTGTACTTTGATTCAATATAAAAATATACGAGAAAGCTACTTCAAACGCCTATATTTTTCAAACCGACTGAGATATTATTTTGCAATGCATTGAAAACATCTCTAATTTTTGGAAAATTTTTTCGATTTTTTTTTATTTGCAAAATTTTGAGTTTGGAAAGAAATTGCAAAAAAAAATTAAATAATTTTTTTTATTATCAGAGAATTTTCTGAAATATGAAATTTGCGATTGAAAATAGCTTAACCCAGACTTTTAACGATTTTTTAAATTTTATTATTTCAAACCGCTATAACTTTTGAAAATAATAGTTAATATTTTCATATTTATTATGGGTAATTTTTATCCAATACATCAATTAAATATGGTTCTTGTCAGAGAAAAAAATTTTTCGAAAAATAATGTTATCCAATTCTTAAAAATTTTTGATTTTGCTCATATACTCATGAAGGGCTTATTGCAATAACACGATATGCCACAAAAATAAAATTTTGAGTAAATCAACATTTAAGTTTAAAAAATTCTCAAAAAATAGGATTTTTTAAATTTGTACTTTAAATACGCTTAATAATCATATAAGGTCGATAACTATCGGCAAAAAAATTTGGCTTATAAAGTTATTGCATAACAATAATTGAATATATATTATTTTCAAAAACCAAGTTCTAGTACATTTTCAAGGTGGCTTATCATGTTCTTGCAACAAAAAAATATATATGTAAATATTATTTTCAATATGAAATTTATATTTTGTTATATTTTTAGTTACTTTTCCATATGATAATAAATTTGGCTAAATATAGCTAAATTATTCTGCAGTAAAAGGCAGGTCCTGTAGTATAATTCGGTATAGGCAAAAAATATTTTAAATATAATGACAAAACACATTCAGATTAAAATTTTAGATAATTCTGCTTCGAGATCATCATTTTGAACATCTGAACTAATTTCGATGCATGTTGGATTTAAGAAATTTCAAGCCCATTGTTCAAAAAAGGTTTCGATATGCACTTTATATAACAGGTGTAATGCTTTTCTTATAAGCTGATGATTGTGACATGTTTTATAAAGATTATTGGATATGCTGCAATGTCTTTGGTAATTTGGTATGATTAATATGACTTTATATTAGGTTTGTTTGAATACATTTCTAGTAAAAGTAGTAAAACAAGAGAAAAACAAAAAATATTCTCAAAAATATAAAAACTAAACTAACGAAATTCAAGTAAATATTGTTTTATTGTCATTATATTGAAAAATTTAAAACAAATTATATGAAATTTTTTTCCAAACAAATCAATACAGAACAAATTTTGTTTTACTACTTTTTACCCGATAAAAATATTCAAGCCAAAAATAGTAAAAGAGAAAAATATTTTATTTCAAAGAGGTTTCTATTTTTTACAATTTTTTGTGTATAAAAACAGAAAACTTAAAAAAATAGTAAAAAATGGTAAAACTAGTAAACAATTTTTTGTAAACGAACAGACTTATTATGTACATACATAGTTTGAACTTTATATACAATTATATATGAAAGTTAATTTATAAGCAAAATATATTGATTTTGTGCAATCGAACATTTTCCAATCAGCAAGAACTTGGTAAGGAACATAATTATAAATTAAATTATTTTTGTATCGAGTTTATGAAATAAAAATTCTTACAAATAGTTTAAAATAAAAAAGAGACATGACTCTTATATCGCCAATTTACCATAATATGCTAAAAATCTTTTTGGGGAAAATAGATATGGTTCCTAGCAACTCAAAAGGCACATAAAAACGAATTATGATGGTGGATGGCTTATCGAGTTACACCAATAAGCCCTTCATATATAATGTTGTAATTTTACAAATTAATTCCTTTTTTGATATATAATAACAGTATTATATCTATATTTGGCAGAACATACGACCAAATATAGAAAGACTAATTGAAATTGAAAGACTAATGGACCGATCTTAAAAAAAAAATTTACAATATCATTTCTGTATATATATTTTCTGTATGTATATTTTTGCCAAATTTTGTATGTTTATTGTTATTTGGTAATGAGTTATGTACGTTTAAGTGATTTTCGGAAGGGAACCTTATATGGGAGCTATGACCAATTATGGACAGATTCAGAAAATTGTTTCTTTATATGAATTTTATTGGCATAAAACGTTAATTTCTAAAATTCTTTAAAGATATCGGCATTGTAACGAAAGTTATTAACAATAAATTAATTTTTGGGAATATGTACATTTGTATGGTAGGTATATGAAATTGTGAACCGATTTTTACGATTTTTAACAATGTAGATCCTGGCACCAAGAGCAATATCTCTGACAAAATTCATCAATTTATCTGCAGTACTTTTTTGTAAAAAATACAAATTACAAATACCATTAAAAAATATTAAACTAATTGCATTTATTATGTATGTTTGAATATGTCGTGTATTTTATGCAATATGTTTGGTAATTATATTTTAATAATTTAAAAAACTTATTTTTTTTCCAACACATTCTGGGTTTCGTCAGGGGAAGACGGACAATAGAGATTTCCTTTCTATGTCCACTTTCTTTCTTTAATCTTTTTAAGGGGAATTTCCACTCTTCTCATCTTTCTCTCTCATATTCTTCTCTCTTTTTTTATTTTCTTTGTTCTTTATTAAAGGGAATCACAATGGACCTTTGGGTCTCCGAATGGTATACAATCATTTTAAACTAAACTATATTCATTGTGAGTCTGTATTTTGCCAGTAGCCAATATGATTAACTAAGTTAGTTTAAGTAAAAATTTTACTTAGTTAATTAACATTTTCTCAAATTTTATGGAAAATAAATGTTAGATTTTAAAAAGTCTAATATCGATCTCAAATTATAATACATTATAAAATTCGACTTATTTTTTGGACAATATTATATATGATTATATATTGATCTTAGATTTAAAGAAATCGAATAGCGATCTCAAATTAGAATATCGAGGGACTATAATCAATAGTCTCTATCTAAAATAACACAAGTTTTCAGGAAAGCAAAAAAACTGTTTATTTCGCTAGTTCGTGAAGATTTTTGAATTTTTTCTTCTACAATATATTTTTACGCCCATATTCTAAATCCTTATATAAAAAGAGTTTAAAATTTTGCATTATTTCCAAAATTATTCACAAATTTATATCAGATAGAGCTTTATTTACGAATTTTTTTTTACAACCTTCAGATAAAGAGTTTTTTATAGAGATATATATTTTTTATTTGATTTAATATCAATAAATATTATATTTTATGCAATTTAATCAAGTAATATAAACCAAATTGTTGAAAAAGCAACAGATTATAAGGTTTTGGTCCAAAATCAATGATATATGATTAAACACGGCAATAAAATGAATCAAACTAGTATCATAATGAGCGATATCTCGAAAACTATTAAACCGATTTCAAATATTTTTGCGGATTTATATTCAGCATTTTTTTAACATAGAGAAATTTAAAAATTGCTATAAAATTGCCAAAAAATATTTTTTTCTTTTGAAATTTATGTAACTGATGCGGGATAGTTTGCTGAATTTAACTTATTTTTGGGATACCATAATAAAAATAATTAGATATTGATCTTAAGTATATATACTTACTTAAAATATTGTTTAAATTCTTTAACGCACAAATATATTTCTTCGATAAATCTAGGACAATGAGTATACCAAACTGATGCCATTCGCACTTTTATTACAACTGAAGAATTTTTATCTTGCGTTATCTTAAAACTCAATGCGTTGGTATATTGAAATTCGTCATCGTCCATCCCATGCATTTCATTACTAAGTGTATACATCGCATCATTTTCAAACAAATTTGGTGGATCAGTTAAAGGATCCTTGCCAACTGAAAAAATACGTTGATGGTTAAAACCTTCTGGCGTTATATCAATAATTTGTATGCCTCCCAATGCACCTGCAACGCACAAATCTTTTCCCAACGTTGCATGAATTTTGGCTTCGCTCATCGTAAGTGTTCCAACTTTACGACCAACATTTCCATTTTCAACTCTTAAACTTCTTAGTACTAAAATGTTTAAGCGATGAAAATCAAAATTGATTTCAGTTTTAACTTGTTCCACCTCAATGGGGTCTTTACGTTCAGTAGCTTTTACTTTACTCGTATATGTTTTAAGGTTGCTTTGGTATAGTTTATAATTATCAATAATTCGTTTTCCAAATCCAAGAAGTTCCACAATCGTCTCTTGATTAGCTGCATATAAATATATATAATACTTATATATAACTTATTAATTTTAAATCTTACCAATAACGTCCAAGTTATTGAAAGTTATATTCGCAATTTGGATTGGTTCAATGTTGTCCATTGATTCAATAATATTGATTTCTATAGTTATAAGAGCATCATCAGTGTCGCAATCATAGTTTTTTCCTATTTAAAAATAAACATAACATAAAAATTGGAATTTAATTACATATACATACATATATTTTATCAATTATAGAAAAATATAAAGAGAAATTTATTTTAAACAATTAAGCCCCATTATTACAACTTGCCAATAACTAAAGGTAGGATTTTCAACTGTGACGGAAAACTTTTTCATCTGTAACAAATGTAATATCAAAAATATTTAAGCAGTTAATGAAATTCGGTACACTATTCAAACGATTAATCGTCGATCGGTTAATCGAATAATTTTTGTCGATTAGCTGTTCCAATAAATGAAAACTACCAAATTTAAAATAACGAATAAACAGAATATCAACTAACCGATTAATAAAATTTTCTACTTAACAGTAAAATTTATAATATATGATCTTCTTTTATTTATTCTTTAGTTACCTAGCAAAAAAAGTGTGGAAAAGATGTAGTATTTTCATCACAACTATTAACCGGAAGTGCTTCAAATTCGGGTGAATTGTACATTAGCGTGTCATTGGAAGAATATTGTTCATTTTTACAACTTTTTACTGCATCTACATCTAATCATATTTTTAGAAGCATTAAAAGTCAGGTAATTGTCAAAAATAACCCACATTCTTTCAATGACACGCTTATGTAAATTTCATTGGTTTTTCAACAAAACTTTATGTTCTTCGAATATGTTATTTGTTGTATTTTTTTGCATCTCCTTCCTCACTTTTAATATTTTTGATTTATAAAAGCTGAAAATATGTAATCGCATTTTTAGATATGATTATGATGTCGTTTGTAAAGTATGACACAAGTCAACAAAAGTTCAAAAATCGTTATTAAAATTATCGGTTAGGTCTAGTTTTTGAGATATTGCGATTTTTAAACAGACATTGTTTACTAAATTCCAAAGTTTTTTTAACAACATGGAAATCTACACAATATTATCTTTCTGAAGAGTATAATCATGATGACAGTTATTACAGTATAACTAGATTGCCTTTCAAGGAAGTTGAAAACTGAGCCTTTTTTCTTTTATCCTTATAACAATAATTTGGGCTAAATTCATTTGAGTTTTTTCATAAAGTACTACCATCAAAACCCAATAATACCATTTTTCTGTTAAAATTGGAAATTCCTTAAGAACGTAACGTAACGTTGTATGTCGTAAGTTTTCGCTATTCTTTTGTTTTTGTGCCAAAAAAATTTTGGCTGCGAAAAATTAATGACATATGATGAAACAACAATACAAAACCGACAGTGAATTGGATAAATACGATGTCCTTTCTTTTAAAAAATATTGTTGTTGATGTTTGTAAGGGCTTGTCATGATGTTTGTGAGGATCTTATTGCTTTCAAAGTTTCATATTTGTATATATGGGAAATTATTTTTTTGTTTTAGGTTTTAAGAAATCAACTTTATGCATTAAATATTTCTTTCGTTTAATATTTTGAAAATTAAGTGATGACGAATTTTTATTCACAAGACTTGAAAGAATACGTCCATAAAATTTTGTGGTCGAGAGTAGTTCCATGTTGGAGAAATAAACACTCAAATTTAAAATTTCTCAAAAATGTGTTTAAAACCAAGTAGTTTTTTTTGCAAGCTTTTGATATTATGAGGGCGGCTTACAACTTAGAAAGTCAATTTTGCTAATGTAAGCTGTATACACTTGTTGAATGAATTTGATCTGAATTTTTTCAGTAATCAATCTTTATATAGAAAGAATTGGTTTGCATTAAAACAAGTTAATCAAGGCCTTTTGTGGACTGAGTACGCGGGGTTTCTTTCACAACATTAATCGATGAAGCACACTAATTTAAATTGGGGGCATTATACATCAACCGGTAGCTGACAATGATGTTTATATGAAAATCAATAAGCCGGTTAAAAAAATGCACGTTTTTGCATTAAAAAGGTATAAAAAAGTTCATTCATGTAAATATATAATTCCTTTACAAAATTTAAATCAACCGGATTGCTTTTCATTTTAACGTTTTTTTTTTTTTGGATTAATAATTTATTTTAATTTAGAAATGAAAAAAGCAGATGTAGATAAGAAGGGATATGCTAACTACAAATGAAATTTCATCAAAATTTCTCTTTAGCCGAAAACGCGGTGTTTCTTGAGTTACAACCTAAATCGCTAAATAAAATTGGTAACACTTAACATCTTAATCGGTAACTGACAATGATGCTTATGCCAAAATCGATAAGCCTTTAGAAAAAAGTACGATTTTGTATTAAATGCATTGAAAAAAATTCGGTCATGTGTATGAAATTTATTTCCAAACTTTACATAGATTTTCATTTTAACGGTTTTTATATTATTTCCTCATTTAAATTCAGAAATGGAAGCATAACATAATTATAAACAAGCAGTTATTGACTAACCGCAAAAATATTTGCATCAAAGTTTCTCGTGTGCAGAAAACGCAGTGTTTTTCTTTTAAGAAAAGCTTGTGAAGCACACCCTTCCCGCTAATTAAAATTAATAAAATTATATTCTTTTATGTTGCTATTAAAAATACAACCATTTTGGATTTAATGCAGGATTTTTTTAAACTGTTAACTTAAAACCGCTATAACTTTGGCGGCTTTTGCTAAAAATTATTCACGAGAAGATAATTGTGCTTCCAAGATGTTAGACAATGTCCACACAAAATATCGTTGATGTGCTATTAAAAAAAATTCATAATTTTTTGAACCTCAAAATCTAAATTAAAAAGAGAATTTCCCATATGTTTTATGTATCATGATGCACAGTGGGGCAGAATCGAAATTTTTTGGAAATAAATCTGGCATTTCTAAACGGCTGATCCGATCGGTATAAAATTTGGCGTGAGCGTAGCCAAGGAGTATTCGAGTTTAAGTTTTGAAGATGAACCCCGCAGATGCCCCAGGGACGGCGCTGTGGCGGCTCAAAGTAGGGTACCTACGACATGTTTTTTGTTTTTCATCCAAATACAAAGATTTTTATATTTTCTGAAAGCGCTCTCGAGATCTTGAAAAAAACATGCTTGGACATACTACTTATCTCTTATAATATCCGAGTTATAGGCATTTAAAAATTTAGTGATACAAAATTTACCATACCTTGGTCCGCCTTTTTTTGAATACCGGGCGTAATTTTGGACCAAATGGACTCAATGTTTTCTTGTTAGTTAGACAACAAAATTTCCAATAATATACAAAAAATTTCAGATCAATATCATTTACAGATCCAAAAATATACGTTTTTTAATTTAAATATTCAAAAAAATTTAGATTTTTGCCGTTTTTTTTGCCAAAAATGTGTCTTAACTCTTTTATTAATAAAATAAAATTTTCTTTAAGAACATATAACAATTTTATAGTTTTCTAAAAGGTATCTTTATGCAGAACGCTTTGGCGTAAAAAACTTGTCCTATTTTTTGAAAATGTTGCCACTGCGTCCTTCCGAATATGACCTATTTTTTATCAAAACTTCAACTTTGGGCGACATGTTCTAAAATCCCAAAGCTGGGATCAGAAAACTGAAAGCAGTTTTGGAAACCTCAATATGTTTTCTATTTACTCCAAAAGTATTTTCCCAGCCCTGAAAGAAATGTGGACCCTATGGGCAAAAATGTAAAAAATCCCATTTTTGGGATTTTCATTCCTATTTTTGGGAATTGCGGGATGCCCTTTGACCTTATCAATTTTTTTTTGCATTTTCTTATTTGAAATGACAAATTTAACAAGCGTTGAAAATTTCATTGAGTTTTGTTCATAAATAAAGATTTTGTCTTATATTACATATTTGTTAAATTTCTAAAACTATGAAACAATTTAGTCCATATTTATCCCTTAATATCTTTTTTTAGTTAGATATGGAAATTCTCTACTCTTTACAAAATTTCAATTACATTCAAAAATATGTTCATTTAAACCTGTGTCCTTTAATTTGATCTTTTTCATATTTTAGTATTAAGTATGACAGAACATACATTTGGGGTTGAATAAAATATTTGGACAATTTTTAAAAATTATTTAGTTAATTATTTTATTAAAGACTATAACATTGTATATACAATAAAAAAATTATAATTTTATTATGAGCCACGCACAACAACACCTAAATCACCCCACACAAACCACCTTTCCCACCCACCGAAATATAAAGCACAATTTAATACAATATCATCAGTTAGTATAATAGCTTTTTTTATTTGAACTGTTTATCTTAAACATAATACAATTAATTCTTACAACCTACTTATATAGTATATTCCTACTACTTATTTCTATAAAATAATCTGTCATATCGGTATACATATCCAGAAGGTAATATAAGTCCTTTAAATCTACCTTGTTTTGAGATGATAGAGTTTCATAACAAATCCATCTTTTTCGCATAGTTGAAAGAACAGGATCAGAAGATAGAAGTAAACTATTAAAAATATCTTCATTCTGTGATTGCCTGGAGCATTTTCTTGAGCTGAATAGTTGAACATGCTTAAAATCTCGATTCCTCGCTTCCTGGGCTTCTTCTGTTAACTCTCCAAGTGGAAGAATATTCGATTCAATTATTATTTGACCATGACACAATACTTTGTGTACTGTTGGTGTTAGTTCCCTCCATGGATACAGAGATACAAGTAATTTAGAAATTTCGCAACTTGGAAGTGGATTGTCGATGTTTAATCCCATCTGAACTTTAAATTCTTCTTGGATTCTGCTTTTTTCCGCAGCTCTCAGTTCTTTCAATTCTTCATTATTTTTTGTTGATTTAGTAAGATTCTCTGGCACACTTCTATATTTGAGGTCGTGTGCTATGTGTAAAAAGTAATCCAAAAATCGTATTCTGGCATGAAGTGGTGAAATTCCGAAAGACAGGACTTCTTCATTAATACTTCTGCTTTTGTTTATATTTGAGAATTGCGACATTTTCTCATTACATATTGAGCATCTCCAGAAGGAAGAAGTTTCTGTTATGGCATTGCTGACCTTTCCATCAATCATTGTTAAGCTTAGCTGATATGATACGTTAATA